CAGGTCCGCCAAGGGGCTGCTCTCCCCTCTGCCATCAGGTCCGCCAAGGGGCTGCTCTCCCCTCTGCCATCAGGTCCGCCAAGGGGCTGCTCTCCTTTTCTGGGGACATGCCGAGTCCAGTGTGGGGGCGCGTTTAACACCTGAGATGTGTGTCCTGCCTTATTGTCATTTTGGGGGGAGTGCTACCCGTCATTTGTTCATTCATGTGACATGCAGTCAGCACAGAGGATAAGGGAAAATGTAGTACTGAAATTGGGCTGCAGAGACCGGGCTGGCTGCCAGCAGCTGGTGATCCGTGGTTAGTCCTTTTAAAATGAGTCTCTTGGCCTCAGTTTTTTCATCTAAAAGAGCTCAGGATTAGACTGTATTACTTCTCAAGTTTGTTCTAGTCTGAAGTTCCGCAATTATATTTCTGTCCCCTTTTATAGATACGGGTTGTTTTGGGTTATGTAGCTTTGAATGACTCAAATGAAAGTTTCCTGCTAACCTTTTACTTCCTGATTTTTCTTCATCTCTCAAGGACTGAAGTTGATAGTAAGTGACTAGCATTCCTTGTATCTCGTGGTGGATTGACATTATTTTTTCTAGGGGGATGGGGCGTTGAATTGGATGAGACACCTGAATACCTCTGTGGAGATTCACTTAGCATCGTCAGTCTTAGTAGTTTATGAGCTGAACGTGATAATACTAGCTTAACATGTCTATGATGATGGAACGTAGAGGAAATCGCAGACTTTTTTTTTTATGGTTAGCCAGTGCATTCTGAGGCGGTATCAGTGTCCTGATTGATACTGGTAGAAAAAGCCGTGGCCCTTGCCAAGGATGGCCCAGAAAACTTTTTGAAGTGAACCTTGGCTGAATCGAGGGCATTACTTCTGGTCTCTTTTTAAATGTCTGAATGCCATCATCATTGCCCCGAAGCCTCCAGGCTACTCGTGACTGGCCCGTTTTATCCAGCTGAGCAGTAACATTGTGAAGCATCATCCGTGTGTTGCTTCGCCATGTGTGCTGGCTGTCACTCAGTTTTCAGGGTACAAGCTCGTTCACATTCATGTTGGTTAAGAATCTGCCAGACATCACCGTGCATTTTCTGTTAGTTCTCCCAGACAGTTTTGGGTGCTGACTCAGAGGGCCTCACTGACTCCTGGGAAGCACTTTCCCTTGACACTGAGTACTGGAAACTCCTGCTGAAACAACTGGAGGATTGCCTCATACTTCAGACTCTGCTTCACAGCAGAGCAAACGCTCGACCCTCCAAGGCGTCATCGCTGCAGGCTGAGCCACTCCCAAGGCTTTCTGTTAGAAAATTGTTGGAAGGAGGAAAAGGTAACCTGAAGTTGATTTGAGCATCTGCGTCTACGTTTATTTATGCTATGGTTTCTGTATGTTTCATATAGAAATGACTACAAAAATAGGGAAAGAGAACTACACTCAGACTTTAAAAAATAACTATATACTGCTTCTCAGTCAAGCTTCTCAAAGTCTGATCCCGTCGTTTCCCTGCGCAGGGCCCCCAGCTGTTTGCCCTCCATGTAAAATAAGTAGTGGTTCTCAGAAGCCAGAGGGCCCCCACCTTCCCTTCCCTGCTGCGCGTCTGTCTGAGACTGGACTTTCTTCGTGTACTTCAGCCAAACAACAGATCATAGTAGATGAATGGAGATGTCAATTTGAGAATCCAGATATAACCCAGACTTTAAAGAGATTGCAAAGTGTAAAGCAGTGCCCTTCCTCTCACTGTATGTGTAGATATTGCTTTGGCAAATACAGTGATTTTCATAAAATATGTTAAGACTTAATGAATTTATTATTTTTATTTTTAAATGAATTAATATTTTTTAATTTCTGTTTCTATTTCTAATACCATAAATATTGAGCAATACAAGTCATAAACCAAAGTTCTTTGTGGTTATCAGTTTTTCAGATTGTGAAGAGGTGCTGGCACTGAAAAGTTGAGAACTGCTGAAACAAGTATAAATTCTTGAGCTTACACTCCCAAGAACTTTTGACTTTGAAAGCAGTCCATTTTTCCATTTCATTTTCTTCTTGCTTGCTTGCTAGATGTTAGAATGAAGCGTATGTGTGATTCCCCATCTCTGGATCTGAGTGGTACACTTCCCTTTCCCTGCCTCTCCCACACAGGCTTACCTAAATCCTGTCATCCTTCAAGGCCCAGCTCAAATGGTACTTCTCCAGGAAACCTTTCATGATCCACTAGCTGGAGGTTTTCTCTTCTTCCCCTTAATGTTCGAAGAACTTTCTCCTTGTTTTCTGATGCACCACTTTCTGTTGTCCTGGAGTCATTTGGGTTCCTGTGCTTATATCTGACAGGACCACGTTGTTGTTGTTAGGTGCCATCAAGTCAGCTTGGACTCATAGTGACCCCGTGTACAACAGAATGAAACACTGCCTGGTCCTGCACCATCCTCACAGTCGTTGCTATGTTTGAGCCCATTGTTTCAGCCACTGTGTCAGTCCATATCATTGAGAGTCTTCCTCTTTTTTGCTGACCCTCTACTGTATCAAGCATGATGTCCTTCTCCAAGGACTGGTCCCTCCTGATAACATGTCCAAAGTACATAAGATGAAGTCCCACTACTCTTGCTTCTAAAAAGGATTCTGGCTGTATTTCTTCCAAGACAGATTTGTCCATGCATTGGGCAGTCCATGGTATATTCAGTATTCTTTGCCAACACCACAGTTCAAAGGCATCAGTTCTTTGGTCTTCCTTATTCATTATCCAGCTTTCACGTGCATTTATGAGGTGATTGAAAATACCATGGCTTGGGTCAGGTGCACCTTAGTCTTCAAGGTGACATCTTTGCTTTTTAACACTTTAAAGAGGACTTAAGCAAATACAGTCAGGGTCTGAATTCTGAAATGAGAAGTATCGAATGATTTAGAAGCCAAACCTAAGTAATTAGATCCACCAGCACCCTGCTCCTGTTTATCTCCACCGAGGGTTGCGAGTTCACTGTGACGCATTCTTTTTGTCGAATGGTTATTTGACTTAAAATATTAAGTATTTGGGTCATGGTCAGAAAAGACTGAGAAGTTTCAGTAAATTATAGAACATAGGATTTATTTTATATAATAGACAAGACTCTTCAAACGTTTTGAATGTTTTTCTGCTTGCATTTATAGTATGACTGAAACACGGTCTAGCATTATATCACTGTTGATTAGCAATGGCTCAGTTTATACATAAACATTCCTTATAGGCAAATTAATTGACCATTAAAAGTAATATTATATTGCCCTAAGAAGCCTAGACAAGTATCATGCTAATCCATCTGTTTTCACTTACAATTTAAATAAGTGATTTAAAGGTGTGCTTATTTCTTTGCCCTATCTGATGAAGTATATTTTGAATTCATGAGCATACAGGGTTTGTGGTATATAGACATACATACACGTTTTATATTTATCTAATGTTTTCTGAGAGTACAGTGATACGCTTAGGTATCAAATATCCCGCCTGCTCTCATGACTTAAGTTGTATATGATCGCCCTGCGGTCAGTCTCATGGCTCTTGGGGGTCACCGTCAGGCTCAAAGCTGAGCGTTAGGTTTCTTCATGAGGAAATGCACATCAGCGCACTGTGTTGGCTCTGTCTCGCAAACACTGCTGCTTATGTGGTGTAAATTTTCCTCTTTCTTGTCTCCAAACTGTAGGTGGCATTGCAGACAGTGTAGCCAAGTGGGTATTTAAACAAGACTTCAGCCCTGAAGTATTGAAACTGGCTAACAAAGAAAGAGGTGTAGAAAACCCCGATGAACCCAAAGAAGGCATTAACAGAGGTTTCCTTGAAGAGTTAGAGGTAGACATGGACTTAGGAGCCACACCAGGTAATACATGAGTAATGACAAATACCAGATCCAGAGTGGAGAGATGGGGCTGACTTTTCACGGAGGGAAATATAACATATTCCAACTGTCTTCTGACTTTCAGACGTCCTGCCTTTAGCCTGTCAGCAGTTCCCTTGCAGCCTGGAGCTGGATGTGCTGCTCGCACATTGCTGTTGGGAGTATGTGGTCCAGTGGAATAAAGACCCAGAGGTAAGCGGCTCCTCTTCCATGTTAAGCCTGCACACACGAGACTGTTTGATTAAATATTTTAGTTACGAACATTGGCTTCTTCCCGTTGGAATGGCTCCTTGCGAGGAGCTGTGCCAGGCCTTTTCCATACATTGTCTCTTATAATCCTCACAGTAAACCTGTGAAATAAGGTACTATGTCATACCCACTCTAGACAATAGAAAACAAGGGCTCAGAGAAGTTAAGTGACTTACCTGAGGGCACGTGGCTAAGGAAGTAATTGGGCCAGGATTGGAGCATAGGTTTCTCTCCATTAAGCCACTGTTCCACTGCACTCCCTAGTTAGGTTGTGATAATAAGTATTCTTGTATTTCATTCTGCATTCCTTCACGAGATGGCAACTGCCTGATAGAAACTTCTTAATATAGTCATCGTGACAGAAGTCAAAGTAAAGATCCTGAAGTCAACCTCGTGTTTGTTCAGGTGTCTGCGTTTGTCACTTCTGTCACGTTTGTCTCAGAGCATTCAAGAAAACCGTATTGCATGCTGGGCTGACTCTAGTCCAGGATTAGCCTCTTTTCCTTTTCAACTCTCTGCTTGGGCATCCTTTTCCACCACTTTGGTTGCCACCCTCTCCTTCAGGGTCCTCACGGGGTAGAAGCAGTAGAGGGAGAAGGGCTCGTTTCTGGGGTGAAGGCAGCGGAGGGAGGAGGGCCTGTTCCCAGAGTGGAGGCAGGAGACCCGGATTTGGATCCCCAGGGGAATTGCTGACAAGCGTGTGGTCTGGGCCACTGAGTGTCTTGCACTTGTGTCCCCCCACCCCCCCTTTTCTAATGAGGGTGCCAGTCCTTCAGGGTTGACACCAGAATCAAATAAAACATAAAAACATATGGTGAATTTTCTTACTGGCCGGTGCAGTCCTTCACTGAAGCCGTCCTAGGCAGTGCTGTGTTAAATGATCCCTTTCAGATCACGGTTCATCCTTTATTGTCCGTATATTAGGTTGCCCGCTTACAGAAGAACCTAACTGATAAGCTAATTTATACTTTACTAATGGTGACCATATTCTCCTTCCTTCAAAAAGAAATGTTGTCTTTAATATGTTAACAGTTACATTTTAAAGGAGGGCACTAAACATGGAAGTGCTTTAAAGAAAGGAATGAACTTGGATCAGTTAAACCTTGACCAAATGAAATTTTAGGACAGGGGATTCAGTTGCTGCCCCTTAAGTCCCCCTCTTCAGCTGACTACGGCACGATTGGTGATCATATTTAGGCTCTCTACTCAAGCGGAGTGTTTTTCCTACACGAAAGAAAAAAGATGTTAGGACTAGAACGAGGACATAATGTCTAAAATCTGGATGAGTGAATTCCGCATTCAAGCCTAACAAAGTGATGTTTAAGCAGAACACCTTCAGTTTCACAGCAATCATTTGTAAACCAAGGCACCTTTGCAGAGTGGACACAGATGCGGGTTCCAGCCCCCCAGTGCTTCTGCTTATAAACGGGCAACCTCGGGGGTGTTTCGGAGTCCTTGGTGTCTGTGTCCTAAAATCAAAGGAGGGTTTACTGAATAGTTCTGTAGTCGGTACATAGATACAACACGTCACTTCTCCAAAATGTGCTGGTGTTCGAGATTCCCCAAGGGTGATTTCAGTTGTTCTGTGTCTAATAAAGCTGTGTGTGTAAAATGGTAGGAGCTGGGATAGGGGTTGGATAAGGAAAGGAGATGAATATTTAACAGGGAAGCAAAAGCAACAGCCACCATTTCATTTTAGAAGTAAACAGTTCTCATAATGGCTGATAACAGTAATCAAAATGTCAAGCACTGTGCATACGTTTTCTCAAAGGATTGTAGCAGTTTATAGAGAAAATGCATCACGGTGCCTGACATTTTGATTCGTGTTATCATTACCCATTATGAGAATTATTTACTTTTAAAATGAAGTGGCTGTTTTTCTTGTTGTTTTGTTCGTTGTTATAATCCCTGGAACCTCAAACAGAGCCTGGTACATAGTAGATACTCAGTAAATATTTGTTGAGTGATGAGTGAATGAATGAATGAATTGTACTTGCAAAGAAGTAAAGCCATTGTTTTCACAACTGTGTGAAATTCAAATATTTCTTGGAGAGAACACTGCTATGATACAGAAACCACAGTACAGTGGATTTGGAATCCAGATGTGAGGCTGTATGACCGGAGGCCTTCTAGGAATTAATCATTATCTATAAGCCATTGCTGTTAGTAGCCATGGCGAAGTTATCTTATAAAAAATACCTCTTAGGTAATAATCATGTTCTTACTGCAACATTCTGAGGTTACTTTATGCAGAGATTTATGTAAGAAGTCATCATTTGCATTGTGCTTAAAACACCTATTAAATAATACCTCTTTTTTTTCCTCTCCCTGTATGTAAGGAAGCACGTTTTTTTGTTAGGTCAATAGAACACTTGAAGCACATTCTTAATGCACATGTTCAGAATGGTAAGTAAATCGATGTGAAAAACATCACTAATTGATTTAAAAGAGATAAGAATCTTTAGATTCATATCCTGTTATGTTTTTGTTTGATGATTCTACAGTCTAACACCTTACCATATATTACTACATGCAAAGTACTGGCTGTTTTAACTACTTGAAAAAATGTAATCCAGAAAGGAGGAGAAAGGAGTAGCAGTTATTACCTTCTGTCCCCATCCATCAGTTTGCCAAGCGTATGCTGCATGTGTATAAGTAAGGGGGATATATGTGTGAGTCATCGATTCCCTCTTAGGCTCACAGGTAGATAAGGAAAAAGGCATGAAGGTCGCAGGGCGGTAATTCCTGGTAAATAAGGAATTCAAAAGCCTAAGACTCTACATGCTACCTTGAGCTTCTTTTAATAAATGTGAATGCTCTCCATTGGCTGCTGTAGCACAGGGACTGCTGATGTCTTCTTGAAAAAATGTTATTAATCATTGTAGAGAAATTGTGAACAGGTTGCGGGTTCCATTTAATAGATGCATTTCATTATAAGAACGGAGGACATTATTACCAGGCTACTTAAAATTAAAAAAAAAAAAAATTAAAAAAACTCATTGCTGTCGAGTCAATTCTGACTCATACCAACCCTATAGGACAGAGTAGAACCACCCCAGAGGGTTTCCAAGGAGTGGCTGGTGGATTCGAACTGAACCTTTTGGTTAGCAGCTTGAAATCTTAACCACTGCGTCACCAGGGTGCACTAGGCTGCTTAGTAACCTTAATGCAACTGCAGAGACTAGGTGTTGGGCTGGAAAGAGGAAGTTGTTACCTTTATGTCTCTGTGATAAATTCCAGAGAAACCACTTATTTCTTCTTCACCTGTATCACCTTATTGCAGGAATTCACAGTTTGAACTCAAATGGCAGAAATTTTAAAATATCTCATTTTACAGGAAGAAAATTTGATAATTATTCATTTATCTCTTAGTTGTTACCTTCTTCAAAGGGGAGAAAAAGCATTTAAAGTGACTAGCTTGGAAAAAATAGTCTCTAGATAATTCTGTCCTTACTGATAAGGTACTACTGATTTCAGGCTAGTATTTCTTAAAGTTAGACCTTTACCCATTTATACATTGAGTAAGCTTCCTGACTTCTTTGCAGCTTAAAAAAAAAAAAAAACAACAACAACAAAAAAAAAAAAAAAAACAACAGACTCACTTCTAGCTACAGAATCAGCTTTGTGGGTAGTAATAACAGCATATGAAATGCCATGTTTACGCTGCCTAATTGGCAGCTGTTTCAGAAATTTTAGTTTTAATGCTACAACTTACTGAATATGGAAGTATAGATAGCCAAGACTTTCTGTTTTATTTTTTTAATTATAATTGCAGCATAACATACATGTAGTAAATGTTCTGTATTTTGCTTTAGTTTGGGTGGTTACATATGAAAAAAATCTTCCTGGATTTCGAGGTTGTTTCTAGTATTTGGATATTATTAATAAAGCAGTTCTCAGCAGTCTTGTGCATATTACTTATATTCATTCCTGTTGAGTACGTACCCAGCAGTAGAATTGCTAGGTCATAGGGTAAACACATACTTAGCTTTAGTAGATAATAACAAAAAGTTTTCCAGATCATTTTACCAATTTTTATCTTACCAACAATGTGTGGGAGTTCCAGTTGCTCCACATCCTCACCAATGCTTAGTATTGTCGGTGGGCTTTTTTATTGTTTTAATTTCAGCCTTTCTGATACTTGTGTAATATCTCATTGTGACTTTATATTTCCCTTATGACTAATCATGTTGAAGCTTTCCTTATGCTGATTGGCCATTTAGATATCCTCTTACGCAACTCAGTTCTGACTTTTAATGAAGATAGAAGTTTCATTAACTTTTATTACATAAGATGTGAGTAATGGTATCTAAATTGATAGCCTGTGACTTTTATAAGCTTAAGGAAGACAATAATTTGTTGTGTGTGATGAAAGTAAAAATACATAAGCATTATGTTTACTACTTTTTACCTATCATGTAGGCGTTGCACTGATGATGTGGAATACATTCTTAGTTAAAAGGTTTTCTGCTGCTACATACTTGATGGATAAGGTAAGGTAATTTTAAAGTTTCTGTGCTGACTTCATGTGTTTGTTTCCCTATTAGACTTCTTTTTATTTGATATGAAATTAATTTTACTTATGCTAAATTAAATGTAATTCCCAATGCTGGCGTTTTAATGCCATGAAGGAGAGCTGGAAATCCTTAAGAAAAGAGTAATACACTGTAAATGCCTCTTAACCAGAGAGATTATGACTGGCTATTTATGCCAACAGGAATTTGCATTTAATTTTAAATTAAAACATATAAATGTACATTTTTATTCACTGATCTTTGGATGTAGGGCCAAAATGTCTTCTTTGAATGTGAGTGTGATGGTTAAGGTTGTGTATTAACTTGGGTGGGCCATGATTCTCAGTGGTTTGGCAGTTGTGATGTTGTTTGGAAGCTATTGAATGATATAGTTTGGCAGTTACGTAATGATGTAGTCATCCTCCATGATGTGATCTGATGTATTCAGCCAATCAGTTGTAAGGAGAGTTTCTGCGGGGGTGTGGCTTGCATCCAATATATATATGGATGTTCTGGCAAAACTTGCTTGCTTGCTCTGGATCCTGCATGCAACTCTGCATCATATGATCTCCAGTTCTTGGGACTTGAGCCACCTGTCTGCCATATTGCCTGTCGATCTTGGGATTCATCAGCTTCTGCAGCCTGTGAGCCAGCAGCCTGCCATCTTACCTGCCAATCTTGGATTCACCAGCCTCCGCAGCCTTTGAGCCAGTGGCCGGCTGTCTAACCTGCCAATTTTGGGTTTGTCAGCCCCTGCTGCATCATGAGTTAGGAGAAGCCTCCAGCCCGACGCCTGACCTACAGACTTGGGACTTGCCAGCCTCTAAAGCCACATGAGCCATATCCTTGAGATAAATCTCTCTCCATATGTAAATATATACACTTCACTGGTTTTGCTTCTCTAGAGAACCCAGCCTAAGACATTTGGTACTGAGAGTATTTCTGGAGAAGTAAAATCATAAGAATGAGTTTTCTAAAATGATTCTCAAGTCTCACTAGTCTAAAGGCACTGATGACTCTGCCTCCAGTGGTAAAGAGGATGCTGCTAATCCATAGCATGAGGTGGTGGCAGTATTAATAAGTAAAGTGTCACCACCAATAGATCAAGTATTGGTGAGAAGCGAGGCTCTGGGTGATCGCATGTTTGATACTTTTCTATAGGGAGGCTGATTGGTTGGTCTGTCCTACTTTGGCTAGACAGAGTGGTGAAGGGAAGAGATGAGCTTAGGGCTTCAGAGTTACAGCTCAAGTGCTGCATAAAAGACCTCAAAATTGCCACTTGTGCCCTGAAAGAAAGCCTTATTTGTTGTAGTAATAGCTGATATTGCCAAAGACCAAACTCGGTGTCTTATTGTAAGAGTGCCTGAATTACAATGCCAGTTGAATTCCCAACCTTGAATGGTGTCCAAAGTTAAAGTGAGGGTATTGATTGGGAAGAATAGGATCCTGAAATTTGGGACAGGGATATTACGGGCAGATAATCAGGAAGCTGAGGACACTGAACCCCTAAATTTCGTTGAATCACTCCTCCCAACAGCTCCAGTCTCCTTACTCCCATCTGAAGAGATCACTCCATCTTTGTCTACTAAGCCACCCTCTCCAGTAAAACCATTAGCCCTTCCACCCCTATCTGATGACATTAACTGGGCTGTGTCTGAAGAGTCTTTGTCTGAGATACCACCTGAGGTGGCACCTGGGGCATTGCCTGGGCCATTGCCTGAGGTAGATGCCTTACAAGACATTGCTGAATGTTCCCAGGAGCCACGCCTACCACCCGTTTTTGCTTCGAGTTATAACTAGACTTAAGTCCCAGCAAGCCCCAAAAGGTGAAATACAAAGTGTGACCCGGGAGGAGTTACACTACACTCCAAAAGAACTGCTTGAGTTTTCTAATATGTGTAAATAGAAACCTGGGGAATATATGTGGGAATGGCTATTAAGGGTGTGGGATAATGGTGCAGGGAACAAAGTTGGATCAGTCTGAGTTTATTGATATGGGCCCACTAAGCACAGATTCTTCATTCAGTGTTACAGCTCGAGAGGTTAGGAAGGGACCTAATAGTTTATTTGGTTGGGTTGCTGAAGTATAGATTACACGGTGGCCTACACTAAATCAAATTGAAGTTCCAGACCTGACTTGGTCTACTGCAGAAGAAAGTATCTGAAGGCTTAGGGAAATTAGTATGTTAAAGTGGATATATCAAGTTAGACCCACAGACCCACACATGGAGTGCCCAGAGGACACACCTTTTACCACAACTGTGAGGAACAAATTTGTGAACGGAGCCCCAGCATCCTTGAAGACTGCTGTGATTGCTATTTTATGTAAGTCAGATGTGACAGTGGGCACTGCCTTAACTGAATTAAGACACCTAACTACAGTGAGGCTGATTGGACCCCGTGGTGGTAGGGGCCAAGTGGTGGCCCTCAGTCGACAAAGACAGGGTAGGTGTGGTTACTATAATGGACAGCAGAGTCAAAGTAATAATCAGAATAATCTGACTTGTATGGACTTAAGGCGTTGGCTACCTAGTCATAGTGTTCCTGGGATTGAAATAGATGGGAAATCTGCTAAATATTTACTTGATCTGTACAGGAGCCCTATAAGCAGAAGAATTCTCAGTCAAGTGAACAGCAGTCTAACTCAAATCACCAGAATAGAGAGTCATGGCCTCTCAGTACCCAGACTTGAGCCAGTTTCCAGACCCACAACCCCTTGAATAAAGGGGAGGCCAGGTCCCCTTGAGGGGCCCACTACACTGCCAAAAATGTATACTGTTAATCTTTTTCCCAGCCTTCCGCAAAGGGATCTGTAGCCTTTTAAGAGAGTGACTGTTCACTGGGGAAAAGGAAATAATCACTTTTAGGGGATTACTGGACACTGGCTCTGAACTGACACTAATTCCTGGAGATCCAAAACATCACTGTGGCCCACCTGTCAGAGTGGGAGCGTATGGAAGTCAGGTTATTAATGGATTCTTAGCTTAGGTTCATCTCGCAGTGGATCCGGTGGGTTGCTGAACCCATCCTGTAATGATTTCCCCAGTTCCAGAATACATAGTTGGAATAGATACATTGCAGCAACTGGCAGAACCTCCATATTAGATCCTTGACAAGTAGAGTGAAGGCGGCTATATTAGGAAAAGCCAAGTGGAAGATGGTGTGTCATCTTGGCTGAGCCATGATTCTCAGTGCTTTGGTAGTCATGTAATAATGTGATGTGGCATTTGTGTTATGATGTAGTCATCCTCCATGATATGATCTGATGTGATCAGACAGTCAGTTGTAAGGGGAGTTTCCTTCGGAGTATGGCCTGCATCCAGTACATATGGATGTTCTGGCAAAGCTTGCTTGCTTGCTCGGGTTCCTGCATCTAGCTCATCATCATCTGACCTCCGGTTCTTGGAACTTGAGCTAGCTGCCTGCCAGTATTGAGATTCGTCAGCTTCCGCAGCCTGTGAGTCAGCAGCCTGCTGTCTTACCTGCCTATCTTGGGTTCATCAGCCCCTGCAGCTGCGTGTCTTAGAAGCCTCCAGCCTGACGCCTGACCCAGGAACTTGGGACGTTACCAGCCTCTCTGACTGCGTGAGCCATTTCCTTGAGATAAATTTCTGCCCCCACTTTCCACCTCCCTCCCTCCCTCTCTCTCTCTGTGTATGTGTGTGTGTATATATATATATATATACACACATATATACATACACTTCATTGGTTTTGCTTCTATGGAGAACGCAGCCTAACGCAGTGACACTGTTAGAGTTCTTTGTTTTTCTTGCATCAGCCTCACTTGTGTGTAATACATTGCCTAGGATTTCTAGATCCGAGTTCTTTAAAGTGGTGATGCAATCTAAATGCAAAATCTTTAGATTTTTCTAATTTGTCCCCTCATCTTTGTAGTGGTTTTCTCTATTTCTAGTCCAGCAGACTTAGGATTTAGCTACTATCCTCCGTCAATCTTTTTAAAGCATTCCGCATAGCCTTCATGGAAACAACTCCCTTCTGTTTTCCTCATTCCTATTTTAGCAGTTGTTTCGTTACAGTGTCCTGCACAACCAGGATGGGCGGATCTGGGAAGGAACGTAACATACGTGGGCAGGGGACTCAGCTGGTAGAAGCAGAGGCTGCCAGAGTCACCTTCCAGCCCAGGCAACGTGTGTTACGGCCAACTGAGAGCGTAGGTTAATCTGACAGATCTGTGAGGTGGATGCCGGTTAGGAGAACTGCCACTGTGATGCCAGCATGTTTTTTTCAGCCATTCCTAAACCATGGCCAGCAGGATACCCCACAGTCACTTTAGGCCACTGTTCCCCTTGGAACTGCTTACTTTGGGGTCACTAGTAATGTTTTTTCTAGTTAAATCTAACTATTTCCTCTGTGTTCATCTTTCTTCCCCACTTAACTACTACTTTCTTGAAACTCATTTCTTTTGGCTTTTTTGGTACTTTTCTAGTCTGCTTCACCTCTGATTACCCCTCTTTGAGATAATAAGAAGTATCTCATATGTGCATGATTGTTTACAATTTCAGCATTCTCAATATCCGCTGTACATTTGAGCCTCACAACTGGGACCGGGGTGCGAACAGTCTTGAGCTGGGAAGCAAAGGGTTTACGATCATTCATTCAAGAAATATTTATTATAATGAGCGTCTCTTATGTGCCAAGGACTAGGCTAGATTCTGGGGCTGCAGAGATAAAAGTCACAATCCCTGCCGCAAAGAACTCACAGCCTAAAAGACAGGTAAACAGACAGCAGCGTGGTGGTGGAGCACAGAAGGGAAAGTAAATAACAAGACACGGGGAAGCCTTCGGAGCTGAAGTTTGAAGGATGAGTCCGTATGAAACAGTAGAAAGTCGGAGTGAGGAACCAGTCCAGCGAGACGTCCTGGAGATATGAGGCGGCTCCCTGGACTCAGAGAACTGCATGTAGTGTAGTCTGCTTGGAGCTTAGGCTGTAGGAAGGAGAGGGATACTGAACGTGAAGACCCCTGTGCAGGCTGGGGATGTTGTAGGAATTCACAGAAACTGCTTCACAGAGGGCCCGGCCGTATGGTAAGGGCTCAGTAGATGGTAGCTGTAACTTTATCTCAAGAGACGCTGGGGCTGTTGTAAGCAGAGGAATGGGGTGCTCGGACTTGCATTTTTGAAGATGATTCTAGCAACAGTGTGAAATATGTTGGGATTCGGTGAGCTGAGCTTGGTTGTCCGAAGACTGTTAGCGTGATGTCAGTGAGATGTAGTGAGGGGTGAGTGTTTTGTCCTGGAGTCTCTTCTTGCATTGCTGCGTCTGCTGAGTCTCGTCTCAGCGAGTAGAAGTTTACTCCCACTAACTACTTTGTGTGAAGTAGATATACGTAGAGTAGGAAATCAGCTTATCTTCTGAGCTAGGAGTGTAACTCCTGACTGCTTTCAATTGTTTTTCCTTCTTTCTGACCGTTTAAAACTATTGTGTGTATTTATCAACAAGCAAAACTGTTAGCTGCTTTTATGAGTACCCTTGAGTGGGTTTCTGTGTTGTAAGGCAACATTCTCATTTGATTGTACAAAGTAAGGATCAGGTTTTAGAGAAGTTTTTCTTAACTTTAGTAGTTCCAGTAGACATAATTTATTTTTTAAAAGGATTATTTGTAAGCCCAATATGTTTTATAAAACTAATGTCTCCTTTGGGATATATTTTTAAGTTCCACCACAAAATTAATTGCATTGTGTTATGAGTGAATTATAACAGTTCATGAGGCAGCTGTTACTTGGTGAAAGGTTGCCACATTTATTTGTAGCTGCAGTATTTTTTAAGTGTGGTTATTTTTACTTTCTGTACCATAGTAATGCCTTTTTATTTAAAGTGTTAAAAAATAAAGCATTTTGTGTCTTTCTGTCTCAGGTTGGAAAATCACCAAAGGATAGGCTCTGCCGAAGGGTAAGTGAACTTCCCTTTCCTGGGAAGCATAGTTGTCAGCCCTGCACTTTGTATACAGAACCTCATTAGCTGAATTGTATACAGAACCTCATTAGCTGAAGGGCTGGATGTCACCTGTTACCATTTGCTGGCATATCAGGAGGCAACAGAAGTGGAAAGAGAGTAACTGTATTAAGGAGATTGGTCGTGAACTATGGCCAGTTTCAGTTTACCTTTCCAGATTGTCAGCATGTTTCAGCTGTTTTCACAGGATGTGTTCAACTTTGAACTGTGAGCAGGAGGGTAACATGCTGCCATTGCTGCAGATATTTACTGCATAGTACAGATGTATCATCTTTCTCAGTGAAGCGTCCCACATCAGATTAAAGCAGATTCACACGAGTAGTGAATTTGATTTACCCAAATGTAATAACCACTGTACAGACAGGGCATTAGCCTTCAGTAACATCCTAGGGGCTTGGACTCGAGACCAGTGATTAATAGTGGTGGCTTTTTCTTAAGAAATGTTGGGACACACCAATCTACCTGGTATAGAGGTCCTCAGTCCCAAAAAACAACATTGTTGAAGAATTCTCCTGGCATGCTCTTGTGAATGGTTGTATGGCTACACTTTACATAGATATATATATGTACGTATGTATGTTTGTATATGTGTGTGTGTGTGTGTGTGTATATATGTGTGTGTGTGTATGTGTATATATATGTACGTGTGCTTTTGTATGTGTGAGTGTGTGTATATATATGTATATATGCACACACTGAATTATTTCTTTACTTTGGAGCTGTGAGGAGTTTACTGGTGTTAGTTTAAAACAAACTGTATGTGAATGCAGAGTCCCCATGGATAATGGGCCTTTTAAGGGAGTTAACTAGGACAATCTCTAGCCCCCAGCATTTGTCTGGCATTTCGTTCCCAAGCTTGGGGATGCCGAGGGGCTGCTGAAAGGCGGTTTATTCTAGTCTTGTTCAGCGGATCCAGTTCAGTCCCTAAAAGCACCTGTGAAACCAGACCAGACTAAGTTTTCTTTGAACCTTCGAAGTTGCACTCTGGTATGTGCATCTTACCCTGATGGTTTGGCTATCAAATGCCTTAGCAAGCTGGACAGCGGGCCACAGTCTAGAGTAATGGATGAGGCTGTGCCTTTTCAGTACACAAAAACTCAAAGAAACCAAACTCACTGCTGTTGAGTCGATTCTGACTCATAGTGACCCTACGGGACAGAGTAGAACTGCTCCATAGGATTTTCATGGAGCGGCTTGTGGATTCGAACTGCCGACTTTTTGGTCAGCAGCTGTAGCCGTTAAGCACTGCGCCACCAGGGCGCCACTTTCCGTATGCAAAGAACCCTAATTTTAAAAAGTTGATAGTAGTACCACTTTTTTTTTTTTTTTAGGCATAATTTTAGAATTGCTTCAATCTAAAGAGTTTAAGGAAAGGAATTAAGGTGCATTAATGCCTTGACTTTCAAATTCAAGCCTCTCTCTTCTGGGTAGAACGTCAGTTGAGTAGGTCATTGTGTCGTGTTTGATTTTCTGGTGGTAACTACAGAAGTTCTGCTGCAGGAGCTAAGTATGTTCTTTCTTCAAACAGGACGTGGGGATGAGTGACACAGCAGTGACATCTTTCCTCGGCTCCTGCTTGGATCTTCTTCAAACCTTAATGGAGGTAAAAGGGACTTATTTCCGTAGGAAGAGACTCATGACTTAAGCCTTAAAAATGGTGATGTTTCTTACTAGGTAAATAGACTTTGCGTGCTTTTTATTGCAATTCAATTAAAAAAAACTGTGTGTGTGTGTTCGCGTTCGCACCTTGCGCCTGGTAAATTCACTATGCTGTTTGCAAGCTGTTCTCCAGTGTGAGCACACTTGTGTTCTCAAACCCTCAGGCAGACGTTAGCAGGGATGAAATGCAAGCGCCGGTCCTGGACACCGAGGATGCCTGGCTGTCTGTCGAAGGACCCATCTCCCTAGTGGAACTAGCCCTGGAGCAGAAGCACATCCACTACCCGCTGGTGGAGCACCACTCGGTCCTCTGCTCCATCCTGTATGCAGTCATGAGGTTTGCTCTGAAGGCCGTGAAACCGCTCTCACTTTTCGATAGTAAGGTAAGCACCTCAGAGGTTTCAGAGCTGTTTGGAGTTGGGCTCTCGCAGGCACGTAGACGATCTTACTTTATTGGAAGTTGTTCGGTACTTTTGTGTAGGGTTCTTCATCATGGGGTTCCCCGCTCCCTCGTTCCTCACCAGATTCCCCGGTCATACATTTTTATTCTCTCTCTTCTGATTTCTCCTTAAATATTGGTGTTCCACAGAGTCCTGCCCTCAGCTGTCTCCTTTTCTCATTCTGTACATTCTTCCTGAACAGACTCATTTTCTCCCTTTGTGTATCTCCAGGTCTGACCTGTCCCCAGAGTTGGAGGCACGTATTTCTAATTGAATGTATGAATATTTCTATTGAATGTTTATCTGAATACCCTACGGGACTTCAAACGTTTCAGACCTGAAATACATCTTCATACGTTCACACCCACCCTGGGCCTGGCCTGCATTTGCCGTTCCTCCTGAATTCCCTGTCTGGTTTGTTGATTACTGATGCCATCCCTGGCGCAGTGGCCAGGCTACAAGCCTTGAAATTGTCTGGCTCAGTTCCCTGCTTAAAGGTCCACATTCATTATCAGTTCATCCTTGTGACTTCTCCCTTAGAATCAGATCTGTCCACTCCTCCCCACAGCTTTAGTTGAGGCCCCTTCAGCTTTCCTTTGGCTGTTAGAACAGCCTCCCGCCTAGTCACCCTGCTTCATTTCTGTCTGCTCAGACCCACACAAACACAAATCTGATCATTTCAGTTCCATGCCTGAGACTTTTCGGGGACACTGCGGGGCGAAAGACCTTCACATTTTGGCCACTGTGGATAAAGCAAAAGCCAAACTCGTTGCCATTGAGTTGATTCGGACTCATAGTGACTCTATAGGACAGAGTAGAACTGCCCCATAGGGTTTCCAACTGCCAGCCTCTTGGTTAGCTGCCAAAGCTCTTAACTACTGTGCCACCAGGGCTCCCTACTGTGGATAGAGGGTTTCAGTACACAGAACCCTTTTCTTCCCCACTCAGATTCTAAACGAGAGGCAGATGTAGGGTTCAGACGGTTACAAATTAAACTGTCAGCTTTATTACTTAGCTTATTACTGATGAAAACCAGGTAGGAGAACAACAGCTTCAGTTTGCGGACATGCGGGCTTATTATTTCACCTTTCCGTTAAAGATGGCACACTCTAGCACAGGCCCAGCTGCAGGCTTCCCCTCGGGGGCTGGCCCTGTAGGAGCAGAGTGTGTGCTCCCCACGGGAAGAGTGAGCTGAGAAGGCTCAGTGCTCAGACTTACCAGTCCATCCGCGAGGGCTGGGGATGGGTGCAGCAGGAGACCTGCACGGTTGTTCTGATGGACACCTGGGAGCCAGAGACAGGGAGGGAAGGAGGCATCCTCCACAGCCACGCCTAGCCCCCCACCCCGCCTAGCCCCCCGCCCCACCTAGCCCCTGGCCCCGGCCTGCCCTACCTTGCCCCATGCCCTGCCCTGCCTCACCCCCAGCGCCGCGTCTGCCGTTCCAGTCTTGCTGCAGCCACTGTTAACAACCCCCATCCCTCAGAGAAATCACACGTTTTATCGCTGTCGTTTGTGGCCCATTGTCACGGGCAGCTGTTTTTAGGGCTGGCCCGTTTCTTCTCCAGTATGGCTGAAGTGTCGCCTCCTCTTTGTCCGCGCCCTTAAGGCTGAACTTGTCACCTTTACTGTTTTCCCATTCTGTTGCCATGCCTGGCACAGATAGGAGCCCAGTAGATGTTTGATGCACCTATAATTATGGAGGTGTTTGAGAAAAGGTAGGAGGCTGCAGGATGCAGACGAGACGGGAGGAGGTGGTGAGTAGGGTTAGGGAAACTTGCGTGTCAGGGTGGCGAGGACCTGACCTACGTGGAAGGTGGGGAGAATCATGAACCCAGTGACAAGCTGGGCATAGAGCTGAAGGAGACGGGTTAAAGCTAGATCCAGTTTCAGGATTCGGAGACGGCGCGCCGTTCACCAAAAGTCCACGGAGCGAGATTCTGAACATGTTGAGTTTGAGCGTGTATCTCAACAGAGTATGTATCTTGAGAAATTTGTTTCTGAGAAGCGGTGTTTAACATTTAGATCCCGATCATTTACTTTTAAAAGGTAAAAGTCTGATGACAAATTTAAACCTTCCTAATAAAATAGCATTAAATATGTTTTGAATGAATTGTTATGTCTTTTTCATTTGAGATTGAAAAAAGGTGCTTAAGCTTAGTACCTCCTTCTAAAAACCCCCTTGCTCCACCTTCCCTGCTCCTGGAGATGGACTGGTGAGTCTGTGAGGAGCTGAGTCCATTCCGTCCTCCTTAGGGAGGCAGTCTTCCCCGGGGAGCATGCGCCCTGCTCCTACAGGGCCAGTCCCTGAGGGGAAGCCTGCAGCCAGGCCGCTGGGCCAGTCCTTGAGTGTGCAATCTCTAATGTAAACCTGAAATAATAAGCCCACGTGTCCATAAACCTAAGTTGTTTGTGGAAGCAGAACATACTCAGAATTGGACAGTCACAATGTGGTATTGGTCTCAGTCCACATCATGCTGAAATGACCTGAGACAGCTGTTCATGACTTGTGTCTGTAAATAGAGGCAGTGTGATGTAGGGGGAGTCTCTGGGCGGTGCAAACGGTTAATGCACTCAGCTGCTAACCAAAGTGTCGGTTTGAGTCCACTCAGAGGCACCTTGGAGGAAAGGCCTGACAGTCTACTTCTGAAAAATCAGCCATTGAAAACCCCATGGACCACAGTCCTGCTGACACACACAGGGTCACTGTCAGTCCACTCAATA